CGGGGAACAGGAACCGTGGGTTTTTAGAGGTGGTCTCACCGGAGAATTACAGGTTTGCACTATTTCTCTACAGTAGTTATTACACAATACTTTGTATATTTACTTGAATGCAAATATAGTCTGATATTTATGTAATATATCACTGAATTTGCAGAGACTACTACCGGTTGAAACGGTTAGTGATTTGTTTTTATACAAAGCGCCGGAATCTCCTTCGAGTCAGATCTACACAATCCGACCATATCTTCAATCGGATGAGACATCTGTTTACGACGTCTGTCGCAAGACATTTGCTTTGGAGAGAGAGAACATGACTCTGGAAGACATGACAGACTTTGTGGGCGATAAGTCAGTTGTCAGACACTAACTCACCACACATTACGATAATTTTGAAATTTTATATTTTATAGACTGATCGGCGGTTTCTTAAGTTTGAGTCCAGAGTATTGTTTTATAGTTGAGGATGAGATGGGAATTTGTGGCTACGCTTTGGCCGCTTTAGACGCCCAGCAGTTCAACAAAAAGTTGGAGATCTCGTGGACACCAGAACTGAACCGCAAATATCCGGCGCCGACAGAGAAGTTGAGCGCCGGACAGAAGTTATCTCCGGTGGAAGAGTTGATTAATGACATGCACTCCAAGACTACTGTCACTGGAATTCCAGAAGTGATTTCTAAGAACCACCCGTCAGTCGTGAAAATGTCTGTTTTGCCACATATTATGGACTTAAGTGTTCCCAAACGTATACTCGCGTGCATTATCGCTGCATTGAAAGCTAATGGTATACTTTCTCTTAACACAAATATTCATTCATTTTTATACGATTTTATGAATTCCTTTCAATTTTAGGATCGACTGGTGTATTTTGTGAGATACCGGTGTCCGATAAGAAGTTATTTGATTTTTACTCAAAATTAGGGTTTTTACACATCCAGGTGTCCAATGAACTGCCTAACGATTGCTCTATATTTATGGGTCGAGTCATATGATTTAACTTATAAATGATTCTTATATTTACTAATTTACAAATAAAATTTTTGTTATAATTATTTCATTTTGTTAACTATAATTTAATGCTTTTATGAATTGTGTGATCATTTTATTAAATTTTTTAAATAAAACTTTTTTGAGATGTTTTTTCAATAACTTATTATTATATCAGATAAATGGGTGCAAAGTATTAGAAATCATTGAAAAGACAAATTACACTAAAACTATTTTGTTTTCAAATTAGATCAAATGTCTACGAATATTTTAAACCATATAAATTTAAGCCATTAACCACTAAATGTATAGTAATTAAGAGTTCATTATTACTGTATATTTATAATTACAGAAGATTTACATTTACGGTAATATTAATGTAGCTCTTAAAAGGAATTCAATATATCTCACTAACTATTAATCATTTAGACTCTAAATTTTAGATTTAAATTAAAATATTGTATAAGGAAGATTATACGGTAATATTAGCTATGGCATACAGAAAGGTCTATCTCAACTAAAATTTAATCTTCTCGGGAATGGCTTAACATTTTGAAAAGCGGTTTGATTAAAAAATACGATAATTTGGGACTCACTGTAGATTTTCCCTAAATTCATGAAATCCTAACTTCAGAACTTTTTTATTTGGGAACAGATTTGATTGATATATGGCTCATATGAAGGATCAATTCCTCTATCGACAGACCCCACACATATCGGGTGCGGTCATCGGAAACGATCGGAAATCCAGCCTCGGAGGTGGTCCCATATTTGAAGGGAGCCGTAAAAATAAAATTGCGTAATTTTTATGGTAAATACTCTGACATATCCTCTATTAAACAAAACAAACAACTTTTCGAAATGTTAAGTCATTCCCGAGAAAATTAAATTTTAGTTGAGACAGACTTTTCTGTATG